AGTAACAGTAATAGTAATAGTAACAGTAATAGTAATAGTAATAGTAATAGTAATAGTAATAGTAATGGTAATGGTAATGGTAATGGTAATGGTAATGGTAATGGTAATGGTAATGGTAATGGTAATGGTGATGGTGATGGTGATGGTGATGGTAATGGTAGTAGTAATAATAATAATAGTAGTAGTAGTAGTCGTCGTCGTCGTCGTAATAGTAGTGGTAGTAGTGGTAGTAGTGGTAGTAGTAGTAGTAGTAGTAGTAGTAGTAGTGGCAGTGGCAGTAGCAATGGCAGTAGCAGCACGAGTAGGAGGAGGAGGATTGTATTGCACAATCGGTCAGAGTGCTCCCAAGCCACACCAAAACATCGGGCACATTGCGCAAGCAGTTATGGAGGAGGCAGCCGCAGATGAGTTCTGTAGCGGCTCAGCTTGACTGGCTTTGCTGCAAAATTTCGGCTGCTGATGCCTCAATTTAGGCACCCCCCTCCCACCCCAAACCAGTGTCCAGCTCTGCTACGCGAGCTGTCGTGAACAGTCACACAAGAAAAGTACCGGATCTGCTGCAAGCCTTGATGCTCCTTTGCAAACGAATACCGTGAGCACACATGGAATTGGGCTCCGCTGCTGAAGCAATGCTCCACGTGGATACACAGTTCCTTTTAGTACAGGAGGCTTGAGTTTGGGTTTCGGGTGAGTCAGTGTTAGAAGCCTCCTTCTTCCACGCCCGTGCCGTCGACGCTTGCTTAGACCTCAACATCGACTCCGCACCGAATGCTCCTTTTCAATGCTTGCAACACTCACCAACCATGATACCATGCAGGAATCCGAGGGTGCTAACGTCGAGTTCGCCGACGGTCGCCTCAAGGCGATCAACCAGGGAACGGGTGACGTGGCAAGAGTTTTGCGATTGAGTTCAGAACGCCGCCGTCTCCGTGTCCTGCTCCGACTCGACCTAGGAAGGGAACGCACAAAGCTCTGCTCGAACTCGGCATGAGCAAACCAGCACACCTTGACGTGGAAACGCGCCGACCATTGTGTCTCCGACGCTCCTCATGGCGAGTCCACCTGGACCTGCTCCAAACTGCCACACACACGCACAGTGATTTAGCAAGCTGTCAAGCACAGAGTCCCTGTCTCAATTGCCACTTAAAGACGAACTGGTCTGAGATTGCGCACGGCTTTCGACGCCGACTTCGGCTCTGTTCATGTCTACGGCGAGCGTATCTGCAGGTCCGCCGACCTCAAATCAAAAACGACCTCTCGCTGGATCGAAGGCAACTTTTAGCCGGGTCACGACAAGACCGGGTACTTCTGTTAGACCTCAGACGCTGGCACGCACGCACGTGACACCGCACGTGGGAACCTCCTGAGCACCGAACGACGGATTCCGGTTTCGAAAGACGGATTCTTGCGAAGTGGCTGGTTCTGCGAGTTGGTGGAGCCTTGGTTAATCAAACACTTCCGGGGTGCACAAAGCCGGTTGGCATTTTCGCCTTGAAGGTGCCGAGGGAGATTCGTTGGTCGCATTCCCCTGAAGACATCTTCAAATGGGCCACTGCTTGAAAATTCTTGAAACGTGAGAGAGCCTCGAAGTCAAAGGGTGCCGTCCCCGCGTGCTGCCTTCACGGATGGTCTGGGGCCGGCCTAGGGGCCTCGGGCTAGGGATTGCCCAAGGCCGAGGGCGGTGGCCTCAACCTGGCAGCGTGCAGTTCAGGCCCAGGCGGCTGGGCTGCCTTGCGCACGGGACCGTCCGACCGAGGAAGATTTCGAATCCTACGTGCCCGGCATCCGGCTCTTTCCGGTCGGCGGTCATTGCATCACGAATCCTGAAACCCGTCGGTCGATTTTCGGAATGCACTGTGTAGAAATGGCTACAAGGAAGCCGTGGATGAGTGCCGGGCCGGTGCGACACGAGGCACGTACAGAGATGAATTGCTACATGCAGCTGGGACTGTCAGTTGTCATTGTGTGAGCATTGTGAAATTGTGAACTGCCTCATCTGCCACTTTAGGTCTTTCCTAGTCGCAGTCGTCGCAGTACACATCAGCATTTTGTGATGCCCGAGTTTATGTACAAGCGCCAAGCCAATGGCCAGTGCACCTGGCAGTGTCAGATCTCTGGTCGCTGCTCAGTTCGGCTCTGTGAGGTACTCTACTCGGCTCTGAACGTCTGAACGTGGATCCAAGGCACGGCCCCTTGGCAGGACTTGGCAGGATGCCAGCACCAGGCCACCCGGCTAAAGAGCCACGACCCGAGGCCCGAGTTCCAGTTCGCCGGTTGCTTTTGCAGAAACTGCTGTGACGGCTGACGCATGCTGACGCCACGCCATGGTTTTCCCAGCACTCGCCGGACGCTCGTAGTGAAGGCGTAAGACTGAAAGGTAACCCCAGAATTTGTATACGTAGTTTAAGGATTTAGTTTGAGCTACAAGTACGCGGCTACACGCTTCCTTCGAAAGATCATTTCCGAGGCTACCTCGACACCATGCAAGCCGTGCGAGGCATGACGTGCCCATTCAGATCTGAAGGGCCTGAAGGGCCATTTCTAAAAGTGTGGAAGAGCAGCAATGGAAAACATGCTCCCGAAAGTACACCATGGAAAGGAGCAACTCCTTCGGAGCTGCTTGGTGCATGCGACTGCTGTGTGTGCGTGCTGTTGCCAAGTTGGTGCTTGACCATCTTCTGTCTCCATTTCATCTTGTCACCAACCCTTTTAAACTCCGCTTCGGAAGTTACTTGTACAGGTTGGGACTTCTGCCCACCGCACATGTTGTGCCGCTCGTGGTGCGTTCATAACGGCCGCAAATGCCCACCGCCGCATCTCCTGCAGCTCAGCGGCTCAGCTCGCAACCTAAAAGGCATCACCTCAGCTCAGCCCGGCCTTCCTGGGTCATGCGATGCTATGCGTATGAGAGGCAGGAGCCACATCGGATCTGTGTCCTCAGTTTGGGGTGCAGCAGACAGTGCTCCATCTGCCTCCGATTTGTTTTCCGCGACTGGGGTCAGTGCTTCTTCTCCTCCTCCTCTAGTTGCTGCAGCTCGTCATCCTCGCCATCCGCTGCCATACTGTCCAAGCGAACCATGTCGTCGAGGTGCACACGGACCTTGACAGGAGCCACGGTCAAACTTCATTGAGGCATGCGACATGAGCAAAAGAAGATCTGTGCCTCTCCCAGCAAGTTCGCGACATGCGCCGGCAATTCTGCCAGCGGGTTGCTGTCCTTCGTGTACGCGGAAGGAAGGGAAGATAAACGGTCCCCATCCACTGTCACAGCTTCCTTCAAGACCTCCTTGAGCAGGACCTTCTTCCTCAAGTTCTTGGATTCAGATGGCTCAATCAGCAGCTCGGAAACCTGGCAGGGAGGTAGGTGGCGATTCTCGAGACAAAGTTGCAGGCTTAGGCCTTCTGAAGGCTCACGTTGATGCCGTACTGCTGATACCTAAGTTTGTCGGTCGATAGCAGACTTTCCGGGGGAGGGAAAAGACCAGAGGGGAGGACGCCTGCTCAAGCTGAGCCTGTGCATATCGCTCATGACAGCATGCAGCATGAATCTTCCATACTCCAGCTTACAGCTTCCCCCACGCTGTGCTACCACCCGACATGTCGAGAAGCACATGACCGAGCTTCTTCCTGGCCTTGATCCTTCGAGCAGCCTTCCGTTTCAAGAGCTCAAGCTTCTTCTCGTGCTTTGCCTGTGCACATCAAGAGCAGCAGACGCGAGGAGACCGCGCGCATACGCACAAGCACGAGAGCGGACAATTCACACAAACAGATGCGTCGATCCTGATATTCATCTAGCGTGATCTCGCCATCTTTCGGACCAAGGTCACCCCACATCCTGAGTGCACATTTTGTGCGCGGCGCAACCTGGACCATGCTTTGCGAGAGCAGAGCCGAAGAGAGCTGTAGCAGCTAGACCTCAGCAGCCAATGAAGCAACCGGCCTCCTTGGCTCCACGGCGGCCACGGGGTCTCCAAGGGCCTCTTGCTGCCAAGTAGCAGGATGACCGACGCCAGACCCCAGATTCCGAACCACGCACCGCTTTGCGATGCCAGATCTATCCAGCCCAAGACCTTGGAACAAATTGGTTCCTGTCACTTCCCGACGCCCGTCCTGTGTGGCCCAAGGCTCTTGCTTCTGCACGTAATGCCACCATGTGCTACCAATGTTTCTGAGCGCTTGGGGCCACGACGGGTTGTTTGAGCAAGGCCTTCGCCTTGTCACTTAGCCTGAACTTGAGCCGCACCTGCGCCTGATTACGCTCCTTGAAGCTCAGCACCTGCCAAGCCAACAGAGTAAAGCTGAACATAGCTGAACGCACTGCTGAGCGCAACCTGCGAGTAGACGCGTGCAGATTCCACTTCGACGTAGAAGGTCGACATTCTCACCATGCCCCACATGTCCTTCCATCAAACGGAGGCAACCCGTGCAGGCCCGTCTGCCCGTCTGCACACAGGTTCCTTGACATAGAGTGGAATGACTCCCACCACCACATCGATAGTGTAGACGTATCCCGGCCTTAATGACTTATCGTCTTGCTGTTACATGCCTGGCATGATGCCCAGACTCCGGCTGCAAAGTGATACTTTTGTCTCGAGCAGCTGTAACATCAGCCATCGCCTCCTTCAGGAGGGTCGAAAACATTCGAGAACGTTTGACCTTACACTCTTGGGTCCTCCAAGTCCACCGCGAAAGGAAACGCAGGCTGCTGGACGACTCCATGTTTCCGACAAGCTTCGCGGTGCAGTCGCCAATAAGAACGTGCCTAAAAGGCCACTCAAGCGACGCCATGAGCCATTGAAGAAACACAAGGCTGCGGCGTTGCACTGTAGAATCTCTCGCGTCATGTCCTCGTCCAGTGGCCTTCAGCGCGAGGTACGGCAAAGTTTTGAGAAGACAGTTCCTTCTTCATCCTGCATGCTGCAATGCTGCATGATCGTGCGATATCGTTTGTACAACATGCTAGGTCTTCAGTAGGCAAGGCAGACTCTGATCGACACAGCAAGCAGCTCTGGAGCACGACGCAGCAGCTCTGTTTCGACAAGAATGTCCTCTTCTTGCACCACACCGATTGGAAACACTGCTGCAATGTCGTTGCTCAAAGGGGAATAAAATGACGCTTGAGCTCCGGACCACCACCGTGGTCTACCTGGATCTACGGGATGCAAGCCACACTTGGCTGAGATCATGCAGTGGCCGTGCAAGCCTCTACGTATTAGCTCGACCGTCCGCTCGACATCCATGTGGATCTCGAGCAAAGGCCTCCCCACATCATCGAACTGCAACCGAACCATGGCAAACAGCACCGAAGCAGACATTGTCTCACTCGAACGGATTCGAGCACTGGCCAGTGCGCTGGATGCTGAGTAGTGTGCTGCACGGTAGGACTTGATGCCGGTAAGTGTGCGAGAGAGACACCAGTCTTTTCCAGGACCTTCTTGTTGTCTCCTCTCAACATGAGGGAACTCTGCCACCATGAAGAACCCGTTTGTGCAACAATGCAAGACCCTGCAGTCCTGAATGCTGCCCTTTGTAAAGGATCTTCCCGGTGTATAATACCTCGATGGGGCACGGAGTCTTCAGACCACGTGCGGTGCATAGAGCGTCGTCCTCACAACAAGCGCAGCATATGTCAAGCGTGACGACGCCCCACAGCAGACACGACGCAACGAGTCCAGCCTCCATGAGCTGGACATCTCCGCCGGCAGGTGCGTTCTTTGAGAAAAGCTTTTCGGTTTCCTGCGTGGCATGGGCTTCAGAGTATAAGGTATGCACCATCTCCCTCGCCTCGGCAGTGGAGTCCCAAGTGAAGTAATAGCCTTGCGGCTTTTTCACTCGGAAACTGCTCCACTGACTCCCTGCGGGCCGCTTAACGAAAGTTCACTCGTTTGGGACCTCTTTAGAGGAGGTCGATTTGTCAGTGCCTTGGGCAGCGCCTTCTGGCTACCTTCTTCTTCGAATGTGCTTGCAGCTGATGACTAGGATTGCACGATGCGGACGTGAGCTGCAAACAAAACCCACAACCCGCCAAAGTTCAAAGCCCGCAGGTGTTCGTGACTCTTCAAGTCTGCCTGTGTGGACAGGTCGCTTATCGATGCATCGCCATGTCTGCCCGCTGCTTGCCGTAACAGTCGAACACAAGGGCTTTATGCTTCGGAAGTCAATGCAGTCATGATAGCCGCCAAGTGGCTCGTCAGCGTGTCCAGCATCCATTCCGGCTTATACAAAGATCCCGGTCTCCGACTTTCAGCGAAAACCCACTTCCCGTTTAGGGGAATCGACAGTTTTTTTCGCATCGTGCTGGAAGCGAAAAGCTCCTGCGGGAAACGTGATATCACAAGGGGCGACTTGTAGTACAAGTCACATGCTTCCGTCCTGATTGCAAGAGACACGGTACTGATCTTTGTGGTCCGCTCGCAGACTCTGCAAATCCTCCGGTTTGGCTTGACACGCTCGTTTCGTCAACTCTTGCAGACAGGATGGATGTAGAGACCAGTCTTCGCATGCTTTAAGTGCAAGCTTCGTCGTTATTGCAGATAGTGCACAATCGGTGCCTAACGAAAGAATACAACTCTCCGTTCTTCCTTTCCCCAAACCCTCCGGCAAGCAAAGCTGATGCACTCACCAAACAAACTCTTCCGTGACATGCTCTCCTGGCAAGATGTGTTGATCCAGGCATCATCTGGCATACCGCAAGTTGCATCAAGATCTTTCCTTGCATGGCACCGACTTGCATGCCACCGGCCACCAGTCTGCAGGAGACCAGAAAACGAGAATCGGCCAAGTGACATTTTTTCAGCCGTGTAAGGGTTCTGCGTCTCTGAGAAGTTTTTGCCAGAGCGAATTGCCTTCTCCTGGTGTTGCGCAAGCTACTTCTAGGACAACAGTGTGGCCAGCTCCAGGCCAGCTCCTTCATTACCTCCTCAAGCCAGTCGAAAGTCTCACACTCCAGGACTTTCATGCGCCGATCCTTTGTTGACAAGCCACGACCAAATCTTTGCAGGCTGCAGTTCAGACAAACACAGTCGAACAAGTTGTCATCCGGTGTGCTGGTGGTATTCGCCATTGCTTGAACGACATCATCTCCTCGCAACCATCGCTATCGTGGCTCAGCTCACATCTACTGCTGCACACATCGCACGAGCAACAACCCACAAAATCCAAGTGGACGTGCTTGCTGCTTGCTGTCCGGGGTGTTGAACAAGAAGTTCCCGCCGTACCCATGCTCGTTGCCATCTCGAGCCCACATTGTCGTGACCGGATCCTCTGGCATCAGTCAGGTGGTTCGAGAACCCTGCCGAATCTGGTGCAGTCCTCCGCCATCGCCCTGGAAGGACACAAGATGTCTTTGTCGACCTTCGTCCATACTTCCATGTTGATGCTGACTGTTCGTGTGTGCTCCGCCCATTTCCTACCAATTTCCTCACCAACAGCAAAGAGCCTTCTTGTGCATAGGCGTGATGAAGACAGCAAAATCAATGTCTACCTGGCCACTGCAGAGCGAACTCAGTTTAGCTTAGACTTAAGAATGCATCAACAGCATGGGCTGTATGAATTGAAACTTGTTTACCCACCTCCCCCCTGCCCCCCCCCGAGAACATCGGCTGCCTTGTCCGGTGCATCCCACTTTTCGTCTTGCGTGACCGATGCCCTGCTCCTTGTCGTGCCAGGACATGAGAGGCAAAGTCGTCTTCGCAGTCCCTCCAACCACGTCTCGCTCAGTTTTGCTTCGAGACTCAGACTCTTCCTACAACTCCCTATGCCATGCACGGGGCAATTGGCGTTCTAGACAGGTGGACGCAGGCTCCTGTCTGCTACCTTCAGCACTTTCAGAACGATGCAATGTAGAGCCCTCTCGACGGCAAGAGGCCGACGGAGGTAAAGGGAGAGGAAGAAGTAAGAGGCGGACGGAGAGGGAAGGTTGTTGCTGGACTGTTGCCGGGAAGATGGAGCTGTTGGCAAGTGTGACATTGGCTGCAACCACTCTAAACGAAGACTGGGATGTGCCACCAGGGCATGCAGGGACGAAATCGACTAGCATTCGGGTTCGTAACGTGCACAGAAGACCAAATCCAAGTGCAAATTGCCTGAATCCAATATGTCCTCAGCATGTGATGACGGCCCTGCCTCGGAAGGTACTCGTTGACCTTGGTTCTGCCGCCTTCGTCAAACAAGTTCAAATCAAAGCCAATATGTAAGCTGCACAAGGTAAGCAGCGACTGGATGTGCAGCAGCCTAACCCTCCTACTACAACTAGCTACAACCTCACTTCACTGCAGCATTTGCATTGCCACGGTTTGCGTCCGGTAAAGGACTCCACACAAGCACATGCCGCGACGTCTCTGACAGGAAGAACATGTTCTTGAAACTCACACTTGCAGGTCGCTCTGACGTGTCGCTGTTGACCTTGAAGTAGTTCTTGAGATTTTTGGATGGTAGTAAGCCAGCACTGGAAACACATATATGTCGAGGAATTTGCAGCATTTCCCCTGAAGCAAAAGCGCTCGTTAACACGAATTCCCTGAGACTGTTATCTGCATCCTTCTCTACGAAACGACAAACATGACAGAAACATGATGTTCAAATGAGCGGAATTGGAGTTGTTCTGCGCTGCTGGCTCCTGCGCAGGCGGACTTCCTGAACTGATGTCATGCTTGTGCCTTCGACCCTTAACCATGCTTTTGTTGATTTAACCATTTGGTCTTGAACTTGCGCTCTCCCTGCCCACGAACGAAACATGCAAGTTCAACCACGTTTGAAAATCATAACACTGGCACTGCAGTGAACTCGAGCTTTTGAATAATGTCGGTTCCTGCACATGCGGTAATCCGCAACAGCAATGCACGAAAACGCAAATTCCCAGGATCTCGTATATTCTTCGCCATTTTAATCGCTCGGTTTTCCTTTGGCTTTTGGAAATGGGCACGGAGAAGAAACACGATAGACAAAATGATAATATCATGATAAATGTCCAATCGAACTGCCTTGCATTTCAAAGCTCACGATAAACGCAGAACTTACGAAGGAAGTTGTAACAGACAAATGACACAAGCAAATTCACAGCCAAATCCAAGATATAATTATGCCCCAGGCCAAGCGAAATGTAGAAGCGAGAAAGACCAACGACTCCAGTGATTCGATGAATTGACGACTTCCATGATCCGGTGCCTATGCCAACCGGCGCGAGGCTGTAAATCTCGGGAGTTTCCACAGTCCTCACCAGCAAAAGCTAAGCCGTGCTACCCAGCACTGCCCGCTAAAATGTCCTCGCCGGTACCTTTTCAAGTGCTTCTCCGTCAAAGGCCTGCATCAAGGCCTCAGCATCTACATCTGCGAACCCTGTTGGCAGACATGCAGGCCAGAAAGAAGCTGGATTCGATGACATGATGCTTTGACTCGTCAGGCACAGGAGCCTCTTGCCCGGAGAACTGCTGTGCTCTTTGTGGAGCTGTCGGTGGTGCCACGCCATGAGCGGGGTCCTGGCTCATCGGGGACAGCTTTGTATGCTTCGATCCACTATACATGTCGGCAGAGCAGTGTAGGTGAGAATGCTGTCCAGAGATGCTGCACTGTCCCTGCATCAGAAACTGGAGCCCGAGAAGCGCAAAGCATCGCAAAACTTCAGTTCATCAGTTGACCGAGCTTTCGCTCAGCCCCTGACAGAGTCTGCCGTACGGTCGCAAGGCTCATTTGGACAATGCTTGGCACCAATGTTACCTCGCACGGGAATGTCATACTGATATGTATAGGCATTGCCGTGGACCGTGCAATTGATGTCTCAGTTTGTGTGGCAGTTTTCTCAGGCCGAAACAGTTTCCACAGAGGTCCCACCACCTGCGGGGTAAATGATGGTGAATGTGCCCTGCTTTAGCTTCCAGACTTGCGTACGATGGCCTTCCGCAGGCACCTGCAGAGCAAGAAACTGGCAATAGCAAGAAACTGCACACTGCTGCAAACAAGAGCTGTAGAGTCTCTGGAGAGTCCAAACGTGTCCATCTTGGGGGTCACGGACGAGGTTGCAAGTGGGGGCAGGGGACCACCCGTCCTGCCATCGCTAGCGGTCACTAGCTGTGCTTCTGGATTGGCCTTTCGCGAAAGTTGTTCGCTCCACGTGCCCACCCATTTAATTGCGCCGTTCCGTTCCGGAAGTCTTCTGCTGGAGTTAACTGCCATGCCACGCATTTCCTGTGCAGGCTCCTGAAAAACTGTAGCCGTTCACGACATGCAATGGCCTTGCTCCAAATGCGTGAAGCTCCGTTTTTGTTGAGATGTTGTTGAGGTCGACCTGTTGTCGTGGTACAGGAGTCGTGAGTAGCGCTTCTTTACTGCTTCATGCGTCACGATGTTGTTTGATGCCTCGGCTGAAAAGCCGAGACAGTCCAAACACGTGCCAGATATGGGGCGGGATGTGTGATGTTCTCCCGTGAAACCAACCCATCGCGGCCTCTTCCTCTTGAGAGCCGGGAAGTATCCTGCAGATGCAAGATATGACGGAAATCGGAGTCTCTTCGGAGGAAGCACCTGAAGCTGACAACGACAGAGCCTTCAGCCACACCGGTCCTCGGCAGCATCTCTGTCAAGCACTGAACACAAACTGTAGCGAGGCGGCTCAGGCACCGTCACCTCCAGCATGGCGACCGGAATGTCCAGCTGGCCCGCGAGATCCCTCAGTGGCACCCGGCCCGGCTCAGACTTGGGCGGACTTTGGCGCTTTCGGGCGCGGCCTGATGAAAGCCTCTTCGAATTCAGATCTCTGGCTTCCGCCTGCGAGCACGGAATCCTTGGCCACGCCACGAGAGCCACAAGTTCCAGGACGCAGGTCGTTGAAAGCCCACCACCACGTCAAATCTTGCCGGCAGCCCATTCAGCTTCAGCTGGTCAGAGACCTGACTTACAGCGTCGCAAGTTGTTGCAAGCATAACGGGGCACACTTGTGCCAAGCAGCCACTTTGCCCTGGTCTATGTTGTTCAACTCCGACTCTGGTATCTTCTGGCAGAAACGATTCTCATCAGGCCTTCGTGCAGCAGTGCAGCACGTCAGATATCAGTCTAATTAATTCTGCAGAAGTCTCTCCTTGTGAAGGGCGTTCTGCATCGCCCTTTGACACACTGGCCCAATTCCACATCGAAGAGCTCCGTGAAATGACAGAAGTTCTCCTGCAGAGGAGTGTGGAAAATGCCATGCAGCTGATGTCGTCTCGCATTATCGCAATGATGGCATGCACCGCTCACCCACCTGGCTGCCAGTGGCAAGTGGCTGGTTCTTGCTTTGCTGCTGCTTCATTTCCTGGGGAGGTAAGGAAGTGGCAGTCGACATGCCATCAGCTTCAGAGCTCCTTCAAAACGTCATCTGTCGGCCTGAGCAGCGCAGCTGCGCGCCAAGGCCAAGGCAAGCTGCTTGCGGCTGTCGATGGCTGTTGCTTGTCGCGAGATGTCGCGAGTTGAGAGCCGGACTGTCCACCGGGCTGTGAGGGACAACACTTCTCTCCTCAAAGGGCCGAGCCCGAGGAGCCCTCAATGAAATTCCAACGGGAGCTAGACCGGTCCTTGCAAACGGCGCGGGAGCTCTACGGCCTGACCTGGTACGTCCGTCGTTCGCACTCGAACAATATTTCGTTCCGAAATGTACTGCTGCTGCTGCTGTCATACCGCAAGACACGATCCTTCAACGATCGACCAAGGCAGTCTGAGTTTGGGGACTCTGGCGACGTAGTCTTGGCTTTCAGCACGCTCTAAACTTATCATGTAAAGACCGAAGCTCATGGCATACTGCGAGAAGTAGCAGTAACTAGCAGCGTGCAATTTGGCTTTCGCTGAGACTGAACATCGGACACAGCACCGTAAAAGCCTAACGTAAGATTGCGAACCACGAATCCTGTCACGAGCACGGAACTGATTCGACTCTCGCTAGGTGCTGGATGGTGCTGGCATGTGCAGATGCACTCTGAAGCCAGGATTCCACTTCCAGGTGTTAAACTATTGGGATGCCGTCTAGCTGCGCTGAGCGTGACATATCCGAAAGCAGGAGCTTTGCGGTGATGAGAGTAGCTACCAACCGAATGTGCTTAGGAGCCGCATGCGATGATCGATCGTGGGTCGAGATGGATCGAACCTTGTAAACGTCGGCTGAGAAGAAGTTCCACTGCGTCTGTGCCAGCTGGCAGAATCTCCAACCTGTTTGCTCCAGGCTCAAAAATCTATCTCATCCATCCTGACCCAATGCAAGGCTTTCCTATGCTTTCCTTCTGTTCGTGCCTCCTCGCCTGGCACTGCACACAGCCTGGGAGCTGCTCTTCGAGCACTGACAGATCACAGCTCTCACCGGCCTTCTTCAGGTCCCGAGTCGGGTCCCGAGTCAGGTCCACTGCCACCTCCTGCATCAGGACCTGCTTCAGGGCCTGCACCAGCAGCGTGGTTCGAACACCCTAAGCCATATCTTCTCAGCGGTGTCGGTCCAGAAGGTCCAGGGCCAGAGGGGCCAGGGCCGGAGGAGCCACCTTGGTCGTCGCCACCACTAGGAGGAGGTCCTCCTGGCATTCAAACCCAATTCTCAAAAACCGAAGGGCTGAACGCAAACTAGCCAGCCAGGCTTCCCGCCCCAGGGCCTGCCCCAGACAGCATGAACAGATGTACTACTGCTCTGACTTATGATTGCTGTAGGTCTGGAACGAGCATGTGGAAAACCCTGTCTTGTCGGTCGGCGTTTGCGGATCCGTCATCATCGTCGGTGGGCGGGCAGGTGCATCGTACGACAAGCAATACTACTCCCTCCAACAACAGCGAAAGCCTCATCTCTCCTGTGTCTGCCGTTCTAAATTGGCATCTACTGCGCGGTAGGCTCACGACGAAAAGACGGGCCAGCCTTGGCACAACTACGACTATACGTACACCCATGTCACTTCTTGGCAAATATAAATATGCACTTCGATGACTACGTGTCTGGAAGCAAGCTTCCCGGAGCCGGCTCTCCTTTGACGCCCACTTTTCATCTACGCGAACATGTTCAAAGCACGCCTTAACTCTGTGACGTTCGCGAAACGTTCGCGAAACGTTCGCGAAGCGTTCGCAAGCGTTCGCAAGCGTTCGCAAGCATTCGCGAAGCGTTCGCGTGTGTCGCGGGTGTTTCGCGCCCGTGTCGAATCCGTGAAGCTAAGGGGGAACTCCACGGGGCACGCGTCCAGG